TGAGTTTCTCTTGCATTTAAATTGTCTTCCTGCTCACTTATTGGATAGCCTCGTCTACGCTCCCAAGGTTGCAACTGTAGTAATTTCTAGAATATATGGGTTGTTTTTTATTTTTTAGGTTGTTGAAGGAGGAGAGATGGAAACGGAGAGTCACGAAGAAGCTGGAGATGAAGAAATTGAAAGCGGAGCAGCTGGAAATGAATCTGATATGGATTTAGATTTACTTGCGGAGAGCGAGAGTGACAGCGAAGAGAGTCAGGTACAATGTGCTCCACCAACAACATACATGTACTAGTGTACACCTTCCGTAACTATCAGCCTGACATGTTGAATTGTCCGATTTTAGAAGTCGGTTCCGGTTATGGAAGGTTTCTCCCGATTTCAGAGATATTTTCCCGATTTCAGAGATATTTTCCCGATTTTGTACGGGTCCGTCCGACTTAAGACGCCTCTACCCGTGTCTCCATGGAACCATTTAGTTATGGACGTGTTCATCCAAATTTTGGGCGCTTCTGTCTCATTTTGCAAGGGTTCGTCCGATTTTTAGTGTATGGACACATTTCCTATTTTAGATACACAGCCGGTAATCGTTTGTTTTTCTGCCTGTTTGTTACCAGGTCGGTGAAGTGAACGTTGTGGAGAGTGTTCGTCGTAGTCGTGTGACAGGCTCACTGGTTGGTTCAGACGGCAGCGCCAGCATGCATGGGGAGCATGTGGAGTTGTACTCTGAAGAGGAATCATCTACAGGAGAAGAGGAGGAAGAAGAAGAGGAAGAAGAAGAAGTGGTGGTGGAAACATATGATATACCTGAGAGTATCGAGAATAGACCACCTACTGGAGGTAAAGTATCTACCATCCCTGCCGCGCAGATCAAGCCACGCTGCAGTAAGCAGCACCTTCCACAGGTCTCTTCCCACTAGGGGGTAGAAAAAATGCAAAAGCAAGTTTGAACGAAATTTTAAGAATATTTTATGAAATTAGTTTTGGGTATCGGGTATTTAA